ATTTCTGATTTTTGTCAGCTTTATTGAGTTATAGCTGACCATCAAACTGTAAGATTTAAGTGCACGATGGTAATGATCTGATAGACCTATCAAATGCTTATTTATGTGTAGAACAACTCTGGAAGGATATTAGTGAAATTGGTAACTGTTGTGCTTTCTGAGAAGAACGGGATATTTGGAGTGTGAGGTGAAAGGAAAACTAATTTTATGCAGTATGTCCCTGGAGGCTTTGTTTTGTTTTGTTTTGTTTTTGTTTTTTAATTTTTTTTTCAACGTTTATTTATTTTTGGGACAGAGAGAGACAGAGCATGAATGGGGGAGGGGCAGAGAGAGAGGGAGACACAGAATCGGAAACAGGCTCCAGGCTCTGAGCCATCAGCCCAGAGCCTGACGCGGGGCTCGAACTCACGGACCGCGAGATCGTGACCTGGCTGAAGTCGGACGCTTAACCGACTGCGCCACCCAGGCGCCCCTGTTTTGTTTTGTTTTAATGATTTCACGTGTTGTCTGCGGCAAAAACAACAACAACAACAAAAATAAATGCAAAATACAACACAAGACTTCAACGAAATTCCTGTAGATTTTACAGAGCCTGAAGTTCACCTCCTTTATCTTTAAAAATAAGAAATTTTGATGGGAAAGTTTAAGACTCTCAAGCAGCCAACTCACTAGTCTCTCTGCTTCCTAGCACCCTCTCCTTCAATCCTGGACAACAGTCCCCAGAATGAAATCTGATCACATTACTCCCCAGTTTAAAGACCTTCAAAGACTTTGTGTCCTCTCCCCGGGGGCCCACCAGGCCCTGCTAGAGTCCTGCCTCTTCTGGGCCTCACCCCCCACCCCCCACCCCGGCTAGGCTCCTGCTAGTCATTCCAGGAATTCACCCTCCCAGACTCGACCCATGGTTAACCCTTACCTTTCCTAGTGTTCAGCTCTAATGCCACTTTCTAACCGCAGCCTTCCCTAACCTTCTAGACCAGACCCTCTAACACTCCCTCCTCCCAGCAGCTCCCGCAAGTACAATGATATGTTTATTTATGCCATGGTTTGATTACTATCTGCCTCTATCTCTCAATTTTGAGCTCCCAGAGGGCAGGAATCATGACTTTTTTGCTCTTGGTTGTAGCCCAGCATTTAACACTGGGTCTGGCACACAGAAAAAGCTCAATAAATATTTATTGCATGAATGATCTAGAAATTACTTGGCTAAGGTTACAGATCAAGACATTGTGTCTACTTGTCCTTTAATGGTACTCGAAGTATCCCTTAGCACACCTGCACGGACTGTCTCCTGAAAAAGGGATTATTCTTTCATCTTTTTCTTTTCTTTTCTTTCTTTCTTTTTTTTTTTTTTTAGAATTACGGAGGTGGTGGGGGAATGGGTGAAATAAGTGAAGGGGATTAAGAGTACACTTATCTATTTCTTTTTTTTATTATTTATTTATTTATTTTTTATTTTTTTTCAACGTTTATTTATATTTGGGACAGAGAGAGACAGAGCATGAACGGGGGAGGGGCAGAGAGAGAGGGAGACACAGAATCTCGGAAACAGGCTCCAGGCTCTGAGCCATCAGCCCAGAGCCCGACGCGGGGCTCGAACTCACGGACCGCGAGATCGTGACCTGGCTGAAGTCGGACGCTTAACCGACTGCGCCACCCAGGCGCCCCCACTTATCTATTTCTTAATGTTTATTTATTTATTTTTGAGAGAGAGGGAGCGAGCAAACGGGAGAGGGGGAGAGGTAGAGAGAGAGAGAGAGAGAGAGAGAGAGAATTCCAAGCAGGCTCTGTACTATCAGCATAGAGCCTGAGGCGGGACTCGAACTCACAAATCAAATCCTGAGATCACGACCAGAGTCGAAATCAAGAGCTGGTCGCCACACGACTGAGCTACCCAGGGACCCCAGGGCTTATTCTTTCATCTTTAAAAAGCTAATTAACTCCTTCAGTCTTCACCTTGGATAAGGGTTTCCTTCAGCCTGAGAGGTCTGGCCCCTCCTCCCCTATTTCTCTGAGGGCATATCACTGACACCGCCTGCCAGTCCCCTGGCACAGTGAGGACCCGGGAGAGCACGCAGTTAGTTCCAGGATTCCAAGTGCCCGGCTTCAACACTCCCTTACCACCGGCAAGAATAGCCATTGCCCTGAGGCCTGATTGCTCCTCCCCAGGAGGTGGGGGTGAGGATTCCTAGGCACAAGAGGACCTGCCCACCAGAGTCTGTGCCCTCCCTTTCTAGAACATTTCCCAAGACCCCAGAATTCCCTTCCAAAATATCCCTGAGCTCATTTACAGAGCCTTCACAGGTCTCACCCGTGGGGGTCTCATCCCTGGGTCCTGCTCAGCTGAGGGCAAACTACACTGCCTAATGCACACCTTATAGACCGGAGGCTTAGTTCTTAAAGTAGCTGTTTGTAAGAGGCAGCTCGGACGTGGGGGCTGGGTTGTCCACTCATGCATGCTGGGTCCCTCCCTGGTGGGATGCGTGGGAGGGGAGGTAGCTGGACAAGGGCAGGATCCAGTTGCTCCTTGGGCCAACACATTCTGGCACAGAATTCCAAAGGTCCTGGAATTCCTTTTGTTTTTTTTTAAGGTTAAAAAACATTTTTTAATGTTTATTTTTGGAGGAGAGAGAGACAGACTGTGAGTGGGGGAGGGGCAGAGAGGGAGAGGGAGACACAGAATCCAAAGCGGGCTCTAGGCTCTGAGCTGTCAGCGCACAGCCTTACGTGGGGCTTGAACCCATGAGCCATGAGATCATGACCTGAGCCAAAGTCAGATGCTTAACGGACTGAGCCACCTAGGCACCCCTGTTGTGTTTTTTTTTTTTAAGTTTATATATTTGAGAGAGACAGAGACAGCATGAGCAGGGGAGGGGCAGAGAGAGAGGGAGAGAGAGAGGGAGGGATAGAGGGAGAGAGGAGAGAGAGAGAGAGAGAGAGAAAGAGAGAGAGAGAGAGAGAGAAAGAGAATCTCAAGCAAGCTCCGCACCATCAGGTCAGAGCCCAACTTGGGGCTCGAACTCACAAAACCCTGAGATCATGACCTTAGCAGAAACCGAGAGTCTGATGCTTAGCCGACTGAGCCACCCAGGTGCCTTCAGTCCTGTAATTCTAATTCGAACCTGGCCTTCCAGGTTTTTCTGGAAGTATATTCATCAAGAAGGAGAATTAAACATATTTCATTCAGCACATTATACTGATGTATAGCTTCTAACTAGAGACAGATAGACCTCCAATTGCACTCTTGTCCCGGGCCTCACAATTGCCCCTGTTTGGTTTTGTCATTTCTTAGCTCAGACAAGCCACATAACCTCTCTGGGCCTGTTTCCCTACCAGAAAAATGGGTTTAATGATAACTGTCTCATCAGGGCTGGTGGGAAAATGAAATGAAACAATTCATGCAAAGGATCTGGCAGAGTGCCAGACCCTCCGCAAACAGTAGCTACCAACCTTGTTTTGTTGTTGTTGTTGTTTGTTTTCATTTTTCTTCCTTTTTTGCCCGCTGGCTATCATCTCCGGCGATTTTTTTTTTAATTTTTTTTTCAACGTTTATTTATTTTTGGGACAGAGAGAGACAGAGCATGAATGGGGGAGGGGCAGAGAGAGGGAGACAGAGAATCGGAAACAGGCTCCAGGCTCTGAGCCATCAGCCCAGAGCCCGACGCGGGGCTCGAACTCACGGACCGCGAGATCGTGACCTGGCTGAAGTCGGACGCTTAACCGACTGCGCCACCCAGGCGCCCCTCCGGTGATTTTTCTATATGACATCCAAACTGGTCTCTTTTGTAGGATTTCCACACTGCTCCTCCCGCCTCCCTCCTTACCCAACAATGACAACCGCCCTGTTCTCTCCACTTAGATCCCACCCCTCTTCAATTGGGAAAACAGCTACTGGGGATTGCACATTTATTATGTTTCAGGCATTGTTTTAAGAACTTGACATGCATTATCTTAACTCAGTTCTGACACCAACTCAATGAAGTATTATTACTCCCCAAACACAAAGACACCGGGATCCGGAGAGTTTGAAGCACTGGCAGCCGGCAAGTGACAGAGCTCGCGGGAATGTGAACCCAGGGCGTCTTACTGCAGAGTCAAGTCTTCCAAATATCCAGAGCCAGGAGCCTGTAAGCCGCCCCCCTCCCTCCGCCAGCGCCCCGGCGGCGACCCCACTCTCCTTCAAGCCCCCGTTCCTAAGGCCATCATTCCCCCTCAGTTCTCGGGGTCTGACTGTGGAATTTCAGCCCAGTAGGGCGGGCACTTTGTCTCACGCCACGTTGCCCACATCATGGATCCTCCTCCCTCCGTCTCCCCTTTCTCTTCCTTCCTCCCTTCCTTTTCTTTCTCCCTCCCATTAAGTATTGAGGCCCTACTCAGTGCCGGGCTTTGTGCTCGTTCACATGCAAGATATCACCAATGGAAAAATCAGGGAGGGACGGTATTATATATCATTTTCCGCTTTCTTCTTTATGGCTGTTTGGCGGATGCCCCCCCCCCCCCCCCCCCAAGTGAACACGCAGGCCAGGTTCCTCGAACCCAGTTCAAATGTTGCTTTGCAAGGTAGCTTTGGTCGGAGGAAGGCTCTGTCCCCTTAACTCCCATCCCCCACGCCTTCCTCTCCGGCCCTCAAATCCAGGCCGCCCTGCCCCCTCCGGAAGGGGGAGTTGGGGGTGAACGCCGAAATCTGAGTGGCTCTTTCAAGCCTCCGTTGCTGTAGAAACCGGCTGCACAGGCCTTGGCGGTCCATTACACCATCCTCCAGCGACGCAGCCAATGGGTTCCGAGCTCCATCCCAGGCGCCCCTGCCCCACAGCTGCCGGGCAGCCCACCAATGGGCAGGCCCCTTGGCTTAGAGTCCTGCCCTCGGCCCAGGGACACCACCAATGGGCTTCGACCCCGCTCTCCTTTTAGCTTCAATGTAGCAACAAGACTCTCGATTTAAAAAAAAAAAAAAAAAAAAAAGGGAATTCTCTAAATTAGAAAAAACTAGTAGTAACGCCTTTTGTCAGTTGCAGCCTGAATGATCTTTGGCTGGTATTTTATTTAAGGAGAACAAAATTGTTCCAATTACACAACAATATAAGTCGTTCTGTACTAAACAATTTTAGGCAAGCAAAATGCAAGCATTAGGGTTGATATCTGCTCTATGTGGATTTCTTTCATTACAGGTATTTTCATCGAAGTTAAAATGATCAAGGAACCAGTCGTCTTTCCTTGTTTGTATTACAACTACATACAAATTAACGATGCTGCGTTTTTGACGCTGAGTTCATAAGACATTGACCTAAGTAATTGGTAGCCAACTTTTATTGATCAATTTAACTCCTGGATGCAGAACATATTAAAACTGTAGGATAAATGAATATTTATTTTAATCCATTGAGGAAATTCCATTTTCAAGGTAGGCAGTGTAATGGCTTTGACACTCCAAAGTGTAAATAAACGAAGCCTTGTGCCGTGTTTTAAAAAATAAACCTTATGTTTGTTTGTTTGTTTTAATTTTTTTTTTTTACGTTTATTTATTTTTTGAGACAGAGAGAGACAGAGCATGAACGGGGGAGGGGCAGAGAGAGAGGGAGACACAGAATCGGAAACAGGCTCCAGGTTCTGAGCGGTCAGCACAGAGCCCGACGCTGGGCTCGAACTCACGGAGTGTGAGATCGTGACCTGAGCTGAAGTTGGCCGCTTAACCGACTGAGCCACCCAGGCGCCCCAAACCTTATGTTTTAGAACACTTTTACATTTATAGAAAAATTGTGAAGATAATACAAAATTCTTTATCCCCCACCCACCCTCTCTCCTCTATTATTAACATATTATATTAACATGATACATTTGTTAAATAATGATACACTGTTAGTAGCTAAAGTTCATAGTTCATTCAAATTTCCTTAGTTTTTACCTGATGTCTTTTTTCTATGCCAGGATCCCATCCAGGATGCCACTTAGCATTTATCTCACGACCCCTTAGGTTCCTCTGGGCTGTGGCAGTTTCTCAGACATCAACATGACTTATCACTGTTTGGTGTTGACCTCCAACACCTGGATGAAGAGGAATTTGTCAGATTTCTCCACTGGAAAGTTACTTTTACCCTTTTTCATACTGTCCTCTTTGGAATGAAGTGACTATGCTCAGGCCACACCGTAAGGGTGGGATTTTTGTTCCACCCCTTTAAGAGTGGAGTATTTAGTGGCGCCTGGGTGGCTCAGTGGTTTAAGTGCGTGACTTGGGCTCATGTCATGATCTCACCATTCATGAGTTTGAGTCCCCCATTGAGCTCTCTGCTGTGGGTGCATAGCTTGCTTCTTCTGTCCCTCCCTCTGCATCTCCCCTGCTGGGGCTCTCTCTGTCAAACATAAACAAACATTAAAAAAAAAAAA